AAGATTTAGCCCAACTTTTGATTTTTGTTCTCCGACGCTAGGCTGGAGGCAAGGTAAAAAGCGTGCAATCGAATCGACGTTGGAGATGTAATCGAAATTTTTGATTAGCTGATTGTCGATCGACGCCTAGAAAAATGAACTTTGGTAAAGATCGAGGAGTCGACTTCTTCTCTAAATCTAATTTCTACTTTTTGATTTCTCTCTATATCTGATTAGTGATTTGGCGATATTTATGAGTTGGGGTTTGAACAAACTTTGTCGTTCTTTGTATTTCTTATTTTTCTGATTCCTAATTATAAATTCTCCGATTTTAGTATTTTATCACTATTTCTGTTGGAGTTCGATCGTTGAAGTTGTATACTTGGCGTTCGTCGGTTCAAACTTCAAGGCCATCAGCTAAAGAGGTAATTATCGGTTCTATTCTTCTATTTCTGATTCCCAATTTGTTCGGAATATATCAGTTTTCTTTGAAATATGCATCTTTGATATCATATTTGTTTGTTTGATTATAGTAGTTTGGTTCAGGATGTTTAATTTTTTTATTTCTTGGGGTTTGATTAAGGAGTAAGACTGTAAGAGTTGGTATATGTGCTTAATTTTTTTAGTTCAAAATTAGGAGTTGCTATAGGCATGATTTTTGTGGTATGCTTCAGGTATAAGTTCTATGGTTTTATGTATGAATTTCAAGAGTTCCAATCTGAATTTTTATGGTTTGTTTATGTTATTAAGGAGGTATACTTTTCTATTGAATTTTGAACTTTTGATTATTTTGGATATTTTGAGGCATCAACTAGGGACAGTAGTATACAATTTTCCATTATTATTTGTTGCTATCAGACATAGTTTTTTTTAATTGATCTATATTTATGATTCTATGATTCATTTTCCATATCACTTTACATATTGAAACTGAAAAAACACAAACTTTGGTAATTTTTTTTGGTTTTGAAACAACAGGGGTAAATTAGGAAAGATATTGATAACATTGTATGATCTCAATGACTCAATAGCATTGACTTTAGTTTGATTTTTTCTAGTTTAGAGATAGCAGGGGTAATTTAGGAAAGATTCTTATTTTAGATTTCAGCTTTGTGTTTTTAGTGTATTTTAGTTTTCCTGAGATTGAAAAAACTCATTTGTTCTTTTAATCTTATATCATCAATATCTTTATGCACTTTTATTTATTTTTTTTACAGTTAAAAGTGTATTAAAATGGTGGAATCTTTTAATTGAATTTTAGTTAGTAGGATCTGAGTGAAATACCAGAGATTACAGATAATAAGCTGGCTGTGGCAAGAGAAGGAATAAAAATTAAGAACAGAAGACAATTTACAATCCAATTTCTTTGGAACAGAGCAAGTGCATGAAACAAGGAAATGTGACAAATGGCTTCTGAAGCATCGTGTAATGTTCTAAGAAAAGGAATTATCACCTTTGAAGAAGAAAATTTTGCTTGAAAACTAAATATATGCTTGAAGAAGAAAAATCATTATTATATGTTTTTTTGTAGTTATATGTGTGTATGTGTGTTTTTATATCGCATTCGTTTTTGTATAAACATAGGGGGATTATTTTATTACTTTGCCCTGGGCATTAAAAATCAATGGACCGGCCCTGAATACCACATACAACATATTAGCCACTAGAGGCTATAACTTTGTAAGACCTTCCGGTCAATGTGTCTCAGTGGGACCTTCCGGTCCACAACTATGGTATACCTTCCGGTCCTAACTCTGTAGACCTTCCGGTCCTAACTCTGTTGACCTTCCGGTCCAAACCCTGTTGACCTTCCGGTCCAAACCATGCAAGCTCAGGATATAGCATATACATATCACATAGATAAAATCATATATTACATAACCCTTATAACCACATAAGACCTTCCGGTCACACATAATTACCACTCTAGGTGAGGTATAGTGAGAAGACTCACCTGACAAACAGCAAGTAGATAACCTCGCACCCGAATCTTGAACTAGTCTCCGCCTAACACAAGGGATGAATATCTCTAATTAATACTCTTTTCACAATTCAAACGACCAAAGACTATTCTTTCTCTTTCTAACTCTTTGAAGTGGATAAAAGACCATTTTACCCCTCCATGGTCTTATTACTCATGTTGACCAAAACCCCAAAGTCAACAGAAGTCAACAGTCCGAATTTGACCTGACTCGCCGAGTGCACCTTTGTGACTCGTCGAGTCCCATCGTTTTACTCATAAGTTTCGCGAAGGTTGACTCAGCTCATAGAGTTGACTCCCAACTCACTGAGTCATCGCACGATTCATCTCTTCGGGACAAACCCTAACCAACTCGTCGAGTCATCTCACCGACTCGGCGTGTTCATTCAGAACCAAAGCTCATTCAGACAATTTAAAATAGATCTATCACTCAATACACTAGATCTATCATCTCAAGGCTCAATAGTCACGTAAAGCTTCGATCTTTACGTTCATGTATGATGTTATTGCTCCAAAAATGCTAATACATTCCCTTCATCAGTGATTAGGCCCAAAAACCCTCCTATGGATGAATAAAGTTGGGACACCTAGACTCTAAGGACCTCACAAGGTCCAGATCTGAGGTATAGACTTCTTGATAACTCATGCTACTCAAAAACCCAAACAAAAGATGGCAAAAGCCCTAGAACTCCATAGATATGAGATCTATCCAAAATAAGAAGAAAGGTGAAGACTTCATACCTTCCTCAGGAGCTCTGGACAGGAAATCACTGGATCCAACAGCCTCACCTCCAGCTCCTTGCTTGATAACCTCCTCCTCTTCCTCAAATGATGCACAAGAACCACAATATGAGCTTTTCTCTCACTCTCTAGCTCCAATAGCAATTAGGGTTTTCTATCAGGGGAAGGTAGCCGCAAATGAGGCTATAAGTGCCTTTAAATAGGTCCCAAACCCGGGAAATTAGGGTTTCTCAGCCCAGCACCTACTCGGCGAGTCCCTCCTCTGACTCGTCGAGTCCATTCATTAAATCCACGCGAGCAACTCGACTCGACTCGGCGAGTTGGACCCTCAACTCGTCGAGTCTCTCCTTCAATCTCAAGATTAACATACCCAATAATATCCCTGAAAATTCGGATGTTACACTAAGGCTGCAACTATGTTGAAGAACATGCGTGTTTATCAACAAATGTTGTGACTTGGAAAAGTCCATTAGATATTTTGATTCCATTTTCCCTTATCAATTAAGAACATTTTTTCCTCATAACAAACAACCTCATACCTTGCTTTGGTCAATCTAGTTATCTTGGACTAAAAACCTGCCACAAGGTATTTTTCTCCAATCGCCACTTTAAGCTCATCTTTGCATGAGAATATTTGTAGGCATTCAATCTTTTGAATAGGTTCTAAACTTTGTGATGGAATATTGTCATTTCCAGGACATGACGGTAAAAGGGTCATACCAAATAAAAGGGTATCCGAAAACCTAGGTTTAGGTTCATCGTCTGACTTATCTCCATCATAATTACTTTCTAAGTGAGATATATCTAAACCTACATTCGCAGCATCTGCAAAAATCCTTGTAATCATCTAAATTTTCATCATTCAGAAACGAAACTTTTTGGATTTTCATTTTCATCTACTATTCGATATCGTTAACATGAACTTTTTGTTGGTGTTCAACATTATCATGTGCACACACATCATTAAGATATGTACCAACATCATCATCACCAATATACTTATAATTTTGAGGATCCTCATAGTGAATCGTTGAATGCATCACGTTTTTATTTTCAGCAACACTATGCAAGTGAGGTACACTAGGAGTGATAAAAATACATATTGGGTTGTTGCTCAGTTTTTCCACTTAATATCTTTGCAACAAGTGTTTTTATTCCATCGCCATCTTCGTTGGCACCTTCACCTTCATCAACCACCACATACACATTAATAGATTTTCCTCCAACTCCTTTAGTTACGCTCATCAAATGTCTAACATCACTATCATCAACTACGGGTATATAATAATCCATTTCAAGCCACGACTAATATTAAATTTATCTAACAAACCAGTTTCATTTTCATCAAATATAAGAAGTCTCCAAAACTAATATACTCCGAAAGAATAAACCAAAATTGCATATTATATAAATCCCCCCCCCCCTCTATGGTGGCCTAACATATGCTAATTAAGACTTAACTATCTCCCACCTCCCGTCATTTACAGCCATAACGAAATACTCACTAGAACTCATTTTAGCACAAAAATATAAAACGATAATTCAAAAGAAATATTGATATTCTAATATTTTTACATAACCTTTATATATAATATAGTGTAAATGTACGAAATAGCAGTGAAAGATGTTAGAAATCGTAGTTAAAATCAACAAAATCGTAGTCAACATGTTTTATTAAGAGCATAAAAATAAAATAAAAACAAAAAATCGAGAGGAAATCACAGGAAGGAAATCGTAGGTGGCCCTTAGTTATCATGGATTTCAAGAAAAAAAATTAAAAGGTTTTACAACTGCACATTCTTCTCGGGTCATGAGCTGGAAATGGGCCAAATCATAGCTTATATAAACGAAATCATAGGTTAGTCTTGCCACCTGCGATTTCAGTGGTTATTTTCGAAAGAAAAAAAATGATTTTTTGGTTATTTTTTAAAAAATCATTAAGATATTTTACTAAATTTATAATTTCTTATTAATAAAAATCTAAACACCCAAAAACAGTTATAAGGTAATTATGATGTGAGAACTATAGTCTAACTATTTATATAAAAATTTAATAAATAATACTTGGATAAAAAGAATGTTTCGTTCTATCTCGCACAAATCCATTTAAACTCGAACTTCTTTTAATAAGTTACCCACTCATTTTGTCTGTTCATTTTGTTACCTCTAATAATGTATCAATAAAAGTACAACAAAATATCGTGTAGGAGGGATACTCATCACTTATTCTCCTTATATACTCACCGTATATATCCTTTTTTCTCTCATCTTAGTGTGTGAGAAAAGTTAGAGAGAGAAAATGGGAGCATGGAGAAGAGGAGTGGTGGTTGGCCGGAGCTCTGGTGGACGGAGGAAAAAGAAGCCAGTAATGGTGGTGTTCAAGATTAATGATAACCGCAAGTCCATGGAAAGGAAGCTAAGGCAGCTACAGAGGATCATACCCGGTGGAGGAGTTGAAGGGATAGACATGGAAACCTTGTTCCAGAGAATCGCAGCTCACATCTCCTTACTTGAATCTCGTGTAGATCTTCTCAGAAGCATTTGCTCCCTCTTCTCCCCACCATAATTAACAATTCTACACTCCAAAGTCAAAGTCAACTCATATTCAAAATCATGTGCAATAAAAATGTTTATTTATTTTTATTTTTCTAATATCATGAAAAGGAAAGAAAAAAAAAACGTGGATTGAACGTAAATAAATTGTTCGGGTGAAATCTCCTTGTTTATAAGATAAATTTCTAGCAGTTCAACGAGCGGTTTATGTATGTAAATTTCAACTTAAAAAGTCTGTATGTTAATTTGAATAAATTTAGTCATTTAGCCTAAGCAGTGAGTCAAGTTTAAGTCGATCCATCACATTGTTTCATTTAGGCCTATTGTGATTTGTGAGACAGGTTGGGGGTGTGCTGGATTGCGTTTACCTTTTGTATTTTAAGAAAGAACCGAGACGAGATTATATGTTTATACGTAACTAAAGTACATAATGTTGCTTGTTTGTATGCGGATTGTGTATTTCTTAAAGATTCGGTAATCCATGTTTGATAGATAGTATTCTTGTTGTTATTTGAAAAGCCGAATTCAATGATTGAGATTTATAGAATTCAATATATTAATGCATATAATAAATAGAATTTAAAAATGTCATCATTATTGTGTTAGATGTGATTTTTTTACCCCTAATGGTGTTATTGCCATGTGACACGGCATATGTGCGGTAAAACCACACCGTGGCTCTTTAGAAAAAAAATCTGGTTGAAAGAAATCATGTCCTACTAGGTCAAGCACTCCAACTAGAAACGTTTTTTCTTTTGATCCATCGATACCGGCTTACCACCCCAATTAGACATCCCTATTCGTTCACCCCTCCAATTGCAATTTTAAAATGTTCAACAATATTATCATATGTATGTGTTAACTATTACCCCGAACTGGTTCACCAACTTCATGGTCTGCATGATGATGTTCCGCAAACCCAACCCTCTCACGAGTCGGAAGACAAGTTCATATCATAAACACAACCATCACCCGAAGTCATCTTTGAGACCCAACCCAACCCAACCTGACGGAAAATGAAAAGGAGAAGCAACCCTCAAATGTGAACTTCGAAGGAAGAATTATTGGTTGCCCGTTCGGGGCGACATATCTGAGGATCTGCAGACCACAAATACACAAGCGACTTATAATATTTGGCTACTGTTAAATGTGACTTGAGCATTTGGAGCATTCACATGGAGCATTTGAGTTCAATGGAGCACTTCGGGTTAATGGAGCATGTAACAAATGACCGAATCAACTGAAAAGTAAATGGATCATATGGACACAGGAACATATCTTCTAAAAAGGATTATGGAGCACCTTGATGCATGTTTGTGTCATCCATGACCAAGATGTGCCATTCATAGGCATGAATGTGCAATCTAGGTTGAAGGTGTGCCATCTAGTGTCTAGATGTGTCACCTGGGAAGCAAGTGTGCCACTCATGAAGCTTGATGTGTCAATACGGTGAGAGTGTGCCACTTTGGAGTCTAGATGTGCCATTTGTGTAGGAGGTGTGCCAACTTGAAGGAAAGTGTCCATTTGTGAAGGAGTGTCGTCTTGGAGGAAGATGTGCCACCCTTGGAGAAGGTGTGTTGTTCCTTGCACAAGATGTGTCATCTTGGTGCAATGTGTGTCACTTATGTTCCTTGATATGCCATAGTGTCCCTGATGTGCCATTTATTTTGTGATGTTCAGTATGGTGCTCGAGATTGTCCAAGGATGCTAAAGGATTATTGCATGATGTTCCACCATGATGGTTGACGTGTCATGGTGATCTTGATGTGCCACTCTTGCATCATGATGTGCCATTATGATGTACCACCAGGATGAATATTCCAGAAGCTACTACATGACGGAGTGTGATTGGTTGACACCATTGATGGGCCTATGGGCTTGGTCCATTAGGGTTTTAGGTCTCATCCTTTCACTATAAATAGGGATGCATGCTAAGTCATTTGGTGTGTCTTTTGTATCCTTAGTGAGTAGGTTGAATCTCTATTGGTCGTCTTGTAATCTCTATTTGAGAACTCTGTGAATAAAAAAATACTTCCCTCCTTCCCATGGACATAGAACACCTTGACTGAACCATGTAAATATTGTGTGTTTGTGTGCTTTTGGTTTTGTGTGCTATCTGCATTACTTCCTATTAAGGGTCATTAGAACTTGGCAAGTGACATCAGATTTGTGCTGAGTCTTGACAAGTATCGTCTGTTTTTTCCCAAACAAGTGGTATCCGAGTTGTGATTGGTGTTCTGTTGATTGAAGACGACATCTCACAAATTTGATTTGGAGAAGTTCAATGGTTCGAATGATTTCACTTTGTGGAAAGTGGAGATAAAGATTCAGAGTGACGGATTTGACCCTACTGTGCAGCTCTCATTTGAGACTAACTATTGTAGAGATGAGTCTTTTACTCGAAGGATTATATAAGCTTTGTTGCATGTGATTGTATTCATGAAGTAGTTAACAGACATTATTGGGAGTTCTTCAGCAACTGATGGCAGGGTAAGGTTGGGAACCTAGGAGAGCCTAGGATGTTCTGTAGTGAGGTGGTAGCGTTGTTTAGCAAATATTTGGAGTATCAGTTTGAGAAGGTGACTTGGAGGATTCGGGATAATTCTTGAGGAAAGTATGGATATGTGTGGAAGGTAGTATTGGGCCCGTACTACTGAAAGCACAGGATCCATACTCGATTCGAGGAGAGTCACGGAGTATCTAGGAAGTCGGTGGGATGAGGATTATCTGGGTATGTTTTAATCATGTGTATGATTGCTTTTCAGAATGGTGATGAGCATGCATGGAGAAGGCTTAGGTTTTGGTTCAGGCTCTGGTGATTGTTTTGGTCAAAAAATGAACAATCAATAATCAACCAAATTGTATGAGAGGCTGTGATGTTCAGGGTAAAGTAAGTATAAGATGATGATCAAAGTGGCACAAGTGATTTACAAGGAAAGCCCTTGATCCTTGCTAGGATCTCCAACATAAAACCTTGGGAGGTGATAATTGTCTAACTGGGTTATGGGCATAACTAAAACCTATGTGTTCATGCAACCCTAATCGCTTTGGATCTAAGTTTTTCACTAGTTAAACATGTAAATTGAATACCAAAGCAAAACCCTAGATCTAGCATATATAATTCGAAAATTACATAATAAAGGGTTTGAATCTCCGTCTATGGACCAAATCTTTGCTATGATGAACGAAATGGGGTATTATCTGATCTTACTCTTATCATTGATTTTTCAAAGTCCAAATTACCTTCAATGTGTTGTTTCTTCTTTGGAGTGATTATTCGTTGTCTAACTGGGAGGAATTATGGCCTCGATAGGGCAAAGCTTCAACTATATTCTGTTTTAGCAGGCTTGTATTGCAATATGAAAGTGGATTATGCTTCATTTCTATGGGAAGATTTTACCACATATGTTAATCATAAAAATAAAGCTATTGAGATCGCAAGTAGGAGATTTTGGAGTTTAGTGCTTATCGAAGCATATCAACAAGAAGTAATTCTAGTTCCATATGGAGTTGAAGTTGTTGTGTTTTCTCATTTGCGAATTCCTAAAAGCTTGGTTGATAATCATCAGGATTTCCTTGTTATTGGAAAGATACTTTATGCTATGATCGAGTTAGTTCCATTATCGAATCATGTATTGATTCGATATCGTGAACTGATAGGTGATGTTCCCATGGTGCCTACACCTAAGAAGGTCAAGACTAAGTGAAAGGGTTTTGTGATTCAATAACCATCGGGTGAGGAGCAACAACCTAAGAAGTGTAAATTTGTTGGTGTCTTGAAGATGATGGCTAGTAAGAAGTAAGCAACTACGCCATTTGAGAAGAAGAAGAAGAAAGTTGTGGAAGGAATTGTTCTTGGAGTTACAGATGATGAGGAAACTGATACGGAA